AAATCCACATATCACAGGTCATGCTTTTGCAGTTGGTTTTAGTGCTCATCATGAGAAAGGTCAGGAGATTTGTTTTTCTTGCTTTCGTTACGAATAACGAGTCAAGCGATCACTGTTTCTTAGCAGGACAGACAATGCTTAAATGACTAAAACAGTCTAAACATAGCGAATGACGTATTCAACTGCTATTGGCTGTCTAAATATAGTGAATGACATACTCAAATGCTATTGGCTGGTATCTTTACAGCATTCTAGTATGGCTCTATTTTTAGCCATTCAGGGTTCTCGTACTTTCTGTTAATATCATGAGCGTTTTCAACACAGTTTGTAATAAAACGAAAGCTATCATGCAAGTTCTTATCAAATCGATTTTATTGAACTGAATTCTGAGGGTCACTCATAAAACTTGCCTCAAGCTTGACTTGTATGATAATATTTTGAGAGTCTTTTAGAAAATTGTTGCGTCCAAATAAGCAGGAATCTCGCCATGTAAAACCCTGTAAGAGGCGACTAACGGGATGTCAGGCTCGCTGACTTGGTTGATACACGCCATCAGTGATCCCGATTGCATAGATCGATGCTCGTGATGTCAATCACTGGATTGTCTGGTCTTGACTATATTATTTACAGACCGCCCGCCATATAGCTGGAATATTGCTGAGTGCGGGCGGTAACAATTCATGAACATTAAATGAGACATTTACTTCATGAAGAATTCATGAAGTTACTTCATGAAGTTACTTCATGAAGAATTCATGAACATTAAATGAGACATTTACTTCATGAAGAATTCATGAACATTAAATGAGACATTTACTTCATGAAGAATTCATGAAGTTACTTCATGAAGTTACTTCATGAAGAATTCATGAACATTAAATGAGACATTTTCTTCATGAAGAATTCATGAAGTTCCTTCATGAAGAGTTCATGAACACTTCATGAAGTTCCTTCATGAAGGAACTTCATGAAGTAAATGTCTCATTTAATGTTCATGAATTCTGCATGAAGTATTCATGAAGTTTTCATGAAGACACTTCATGAAGAATTCATGATCTTTTCAAGGGGTAGTGTTGGGAATTGGTTAAAATCTCATAATTGATGATTGGTTCATTACAACCAATCAATCATCGAAAAATTGGTTAGCGTCATTTATCAAATTTTCCTGGTTATGTTTGTTAATGCACAAGAAATCAAGAAAAACACATAGTTCTTTTCGAGTTTTTGCAAATTGCACAATATGCATTTGCAAATTTTACATCTTGTTACATCAAGTGTTGTACTGTCAGTATAGGATGACTGTTTTTTTATGAAATACTTTCCATTATATTTAAGTTGGTTTTGATTAGATATGACATAAGGCAGAACATACCTGCTTAGTAAACTTACTCAATGACGTAATACTTAGGTGAGTAAACTGACTGAAATACGCTCATATTTGAAAGTAGTGGGTAACGGAAAATGACATACCCACTCAACATTCATAATACCCACTTAAAAATACAGTGGGTACAGTACCCACATGAGCTAAATCTTATCTGGAGCTCTGCGATTATGAGAAAACATGATTGATTGCTTGGTTGTTTAGTCATTGTGACCAATCTTCATTATTTCAATTAATCGACCACCACTAACACTAACCAAACCAAATTATACATGAATTTTACTGCAGTTTGTATTGCATAAAGAAAGTGTTTCAACTCTCTTTATTTAGGATATAAACATCATGTGTTGGTGAATTTCTGGGTGTTATTGAGCATTTGAAGCACGGAATTCATTTGGAACCGACGGTGTCACCTGGAGGTTTCAAATGAAATATTCCAGTGCTTCAAATACTCAATATCACCCGAAATTTGCCAACACATGATGTTTATCGACATCGTAAACAAAAAGTAAACCAAAAGGTCCACACACGTTTTTGTGTCTGCTCTCATTGAATCGAGTATGAGTACAGCAGTGAAATGTCATCAGCTGGCCGTTTCGGCTGTCTCCCATGGTAGCATCTGGAACTGCTCATTTGTGACGCTATTCGACTTTACGTCACAATATGATTTTAATGACGCCATCACAGCTGATGACATAACAATACAATGGTGTGAGCGATGTTTGTATGTATTGATATCGCAGAGAATTTCCGGGAATCAAATACCATTTGATCACGCTTTTCAACCAATCAGATTGAAGAACACAGGTGACTTTGGTTTACAATGTTAGTTATTTTTCCCTTCTGGTAGGACATTATACAAGATACACATCACCTGACTCAGCAGCTATTTAAATGTCTAATGTAAAAGCATAGATCATGGAATTAAATATACTGACAGCTGAAAACCCACCATTAACCAGTTTTAATGAAAGCCTTTGAATAATTACTGCCATGGCTCAATGTGTTATCTAGTACATTTTACTATCATTACTACAAAACGGCTTTTGTCCACAACCGCATGTCAAACTGAAGTAGTTTTTATGACCGTTAGACAGTGTTATCTGTTAACGGTCTATATTTTAACCTGTTTGTTTGTCATAGGCGCACCTTACAAAATGTTTGTGTTAGGCACCCCAGGAGAGTATGGAATTAGGTCATACTTCAAAAATACTTTAGCTTTTTTTTGTTATCTTACCTAGCCATCAGTTGCAGCCTTCCTAAATGAATATTTTACCATTTGAAATTAGTCCTTAGGCAAGCATTATGTTTTTGTTCATTTGTTGATGAACAGTGAGTGAGCGAGTTTAGTTTTTTCAATATTCTAGCAATATCATGGCGGGAGACACCAGAAATTGGCTTCACACATTGTACCCATGTAGGGAATCAAACCCGGGCCTTCGGCATGACGAGCGAAAATATCTGCCTACAAAAATATAAATATATAAAATCCAAAGGAGCAATCTAGCCTTGCCTGTAATTCAAGATGTGTGTTCGACATCTTTATATCATTCTCTCGGGTAAGGGCGACATACTACCCTCGTACTGCAGTTGTACTGTAGACATGAGGGCTGAACGATTCACTGATGGAGAATGTAGTGCAGCTAATGCATGCACTGTTGAACATGTACATTGGTTATGTCTGCAGCTGTTTCAGATCATTGCTCCATGTATTCAAGTGATGCACATTAAGCTTATTGTAGTCATGGATCATGAATTTCAGGTTACTTGAATAGCTTATGGAATATACAGTATGATACTGGATTTGTTTCCATGCAAAGACAAAATCTGTGTACTCCCTACTTAGAGACGTAATAACACAACATACATGTTATGCATGTATACCTACCTACCTACCTACCTACCTACCTACCTCCCTCCCTCCCTCCCTCCCTACCTACCTACCTACCTGCCTGCCTACCTCCCTCCCTCCCTCCTACCACCTACCTACCTACCTACCTACCTCCCTCCCTCCCCACCTACCTACCTACCTACCTCCCTACCTACCTCCCTCCTTCCCTCCCTCCTCCCTCCCTACCTACCTCCTCCCTCCCTACCTCCACCTACCTACCTCACCTACCTACCTACCTACCTCCCTACCTACCTACCTACCTACCTACCTCCCTCCCTACCTCCCTACCTCCCTACCTCCCTACCTCCCTCCCTACCTACCTACCTACCTACCTCCCTCCTTCCCTACCTACCTACCTCCCTCCCTACCTACCTCCTCCCTCCCTCCTCTCCTCCTCTACCTCACCTACCTACCTACCTGGAGCCGAGCCGAGCCGAGCCGAGCCGAGCCGGGCCGAGCCAAGCCGCACCTGACCGACCGACTCCACTGACCTACTCCACTCCACTCCTTCCAACTCACTTCTCCTCTTGTCTCTGCTGCAACCCACTCCCACCCAACGTACCCATCCACCCACCCACCCCCTTCGTAGCTAATTGTGTCAATGATTTCATTAATCTGAATAAACGCTTAATACCAGCTGTACGTTGTCCATGCAAAGCTGCAGATTGTATGTAGAAATGGGGTCCAGGGAAACTATGGAAGCTCTACAATGCATGTTTGTCCCTCGCTTCAGATGGAGCTGAATGAATCGACATGGTTTGTTGACTTATGGCTTGTCAACAAGCTGAAGGTCACTTAGAGTTGAAAGTCCCAATTCAAACAGTAGCCCGGCTCAAGTCTACAATGATTGGACAAGTCTAGATTGCTTCCAGCTTTAGGCTTACAACAAATTTTCTGGGCTCCTTTAGTGTTTATTTATTTTTGAACTTAGAAATATATTTCTCGAATAGGGTAAGCTTTATTTTAGTTTATTCCCTTTAATCAAGGTGCCCTTTGGTTTCTTGGAATATTGTGATAGGTTTTCTCGAGAGCTTTATTAAAGGTTGACATTGTTCCAGATTTGGTTTTTGATTGTTAATTTTGCATACTTTCTGAGGAATTTAGAAATGTTTAATTCAAATTGGGATATAAGTACTGTAATTAAATGCAGACTGAGTGCCAATGGTTAATTATTTTTTAACATAACGCTACATAAGTACTAAATGTAATCCTTTCAGCTTCACCAATGCTTTCTTGCTCAAATATGTAAGTTTGATAGAAGCAAACAACTCAAACTTAATTGTAAAAGAGCCCCAGTGGCATTGGAGTAAACCTGTGGGTAGTGTAGACTTGCTTCGTTTAGAGTTGTTACCATGGTTACTTGAACAGCTGGGTGGGGGACTTTGAGTGCTGTTGATCATTAGGATGTCTGGTCCCGATTCTCAAACAAACTTAAGTCTGAGTTTTGACTTAAGTTAGAGTTTTTACTCAAATTTGAGAAAATGCATTTCCCAGAATGAACTAAAATCGATAATAAACTCAAACATAGTGGACAATTTGAGTTTGGTGGATAGATTACTTAAGATGTTTGTGCTCTTTTATTTAAAAAATGCAGTTGAGTTTAAAATTCAGCTGTTTCAAATTGTCAAACTCAGTTTGAAATTTGAGTAAAAAACTTAAGTTTGTTTCGAGAAATCGAGCCAGGTCTGGGGTCAATATGTATAGACTGCTGCCATATAGCTGGACTAAAGCTAAAGAAAAAAAGAAAGAAAGAAAGATACACATAAACTAACAAACAAGCAAGCACACATGGACTGACTGACTGAGTTTGGTTTTACGCCGCTTTTAGCAATATTCCAGCAACATCACGGGCGAGGACACCAGAAATGGGCTTCACACATTGTACCCATGTGGGATTCGAACCTGGTCTTCGCGGTGGATGAGCCAACACTTTAACCACTAGGCTACCTCTCAATTGCAGAGCACACATGGAAGGGACAGTAATAATATCATGGTTGTTGATTGTAAATGAGCCCCAGTGACATTGGAGTGAACCTTTGAGTTATGTAGTCTTGGTTCGTTGAGAGCTGTTACTTCAACAGCAGGGTGGAAGGGACATTGTGTAGATCGGTGCTCATGCTGTTGATCAATGGATTGTCTAGTCCAATCGATTATTTACAGACTGTCGCCATATAGCTGGAATATTGCTGAGTGGGTCGTTAAAATGTCAGAATGTCTTTACACATCTTTATTTGATCGCTCAATTGCAAGAAGAAAAAAGAAAACTACAATGTCTTGCTCATTGTCTAGTTAAGACAATGCATGTATGATCCGCAGGTGCTCGACCCACGAAAATAGAAAAAGATTAGAAGTGACATGAAACATCATTTTAAGCTGAATTATTGATTAAATTGTCTCTTCATTTGTTTGAAAATACCATCTTGTCATCCATGGTCCCCGAAACCCACATTATCGAATCATTGAAGGTCATATTTGACAATTAATTGCCAACATTTTTTTTGCGATCTAAGTGGCAGAAAATCAATGGTCACTGGTTAAATTGTCTCAAATGTTCACATCTGACTGCTTTTTCCGGCTTAGTTCACATTATTAATGCACTCGGTAATCTTTATCTCTACATTTGAAACTCACTGGATTGTCTGGTCCAGACTCGATTATTTACAGACCGCCGCCATATAGCTGGAATATTGCTGAGTGCGGCGTAAAACTAAACTCACTCACTCACTTACTCACATTTGAAACAATGCCATGCATAACAGGAATGGCAATTGAATAATCAATGTCTAGTGATGTTTGATTGCCAAGTTTCCTATTTTCATTTACATAGTTTGTTTGTTTACAGCCGACAATAGACATAGTTTTAACTGGGCACAATACATGGAATAGCAGATATGCTATGCACAAGAATTATTTTTTTTTTTATGCATTTATATTTCCCATCTGCATGTTGTACAAGAAAAAATATGATTTTACTAGGCCTTTTTTCTGTGTTACGTATAATGCGGGATTCATCCATTGACCCCAAGACTCACAATGGCGAGGGATGACTGTACCAGTAGATTGGAACCATGATAATAATGATATTCTGACTACCGTAAGAAAATTGTCAACAACCAATAAAAGATGTGTAATGGGGAACATTCCTGGAGTTGCGCCCCCTTGCCTGCTTGGAGCTCTGCGGTAGTTATGGTCCAAAAGTAGCTGTTACTCTGATACTGGCCTGCCTATTGGCCAAGCCTAAAAAAAATCGACATTAAACCTGCTTTTTACTCTGTGATTCTTATATTACGAATTACGGAAGCTGGAAGTTCAAAGCACGAAGAACTAGCGTGTCTGGACGAAAAATAATGCTAATAGAACGGTACAGTTTTTGATAATATTGCCGTTTCTCGGAATTTCTTACTGTGCAGTTGCTTTGTAAATTAGTCAAACCATTTACTCCCCATTATGTCACATTACACAGAGCATTAATGGCGCCGATTAGTTGTTAGAAAATAGGATTAGTGTACACTGAAATTAGCCTTAAAGGTCACATGCAACCAAAAAATCAAACATAATTAAAACACAATTATCACTTCTTCATGACATATAATATGCATTGCTGATTATGAAAAAACAAATAAACAAAATTATAAGCCGTGATAATCGCAAATCAAAAGTGCAATATTTTGTACTTGGGTTTACCTCCCCTCGAATCGAAGCAGCCGGATACCGAACCCAGTCAGAGCGGGTGGGTGCACTCAAGTGTAACGGCTGGTTCATTTGCAGATGCCGCTTCACGGCTCATTGTGTGTGTATATATAGAAATGTTGGGTTTTGTAAATACATGCTCATTTCTTGTGTATAACATTTTGCAATCAACAGACATCATAACATGTCATGTGTTCAAGTATCACACCTGACTGTCTGTGTAATTACATAATGTGACCGTAGACCAACTCGGGCCATAAATCACGCGCTTTTGTTTATGGTGTATAGCCTGATTGGTGTTAAGTCTAAAATTGCATGTGGTCAGTGATCGAAGTTGTGTATTGAATATTGTCATTAGCAGACAGGCAGGCAGACACATAGGTGT